CCACGGAGGTCTGCAGAGGGTGACGCCCGAACTTAACACTAGAACATGCGTTCAGAGGGAGCAACTGTCCTCAAGACTTGGGACAGGCAATTGTCTAGCCTACAGGTAGACACTGCACTGCTACTCAAGCCAGAAAGAGATGGTGGTAGACAAAGATCTGTGGAAGGTCTGGGCTAATGCTGCAACAATTGCGCTCAGGATTTCGTTCTCATTTCTATTATTATGTTGGCGATTGTAATTATTGTATCCTTGCTACTTTATTAGACTTGTGTGATCCTAGTATTTTTCTTTTTTTTTTTTTTTTTTCCTATTCCTTGTTTTCATTTTTTTCTTTCTTCTTTTTTGTGGGCAATCTTATTTCTTTATTGGTAGTGGCTGGTTATTATACTTCAAGGTTCAACGGCTTCTCCTTTGACTTGCTTCCCTTTTAATGCTTCTTCCTTCCTCTGTTGACCCCTATCGTCCCTATTCTTTTTGCTCCTCTCTTCCTTATCATCTGCCTCCCTCGCCTGCCTCTGCCTTACAAAACAAGATGACAGAAATTTGACAATGGCTGTAATATTGCATATTGTCACCTTCAAGAGGGTTGCTTAGATTAACAGATATAGACATACAAAATTGATCTAAACATGAGTGTTGACTATTCCATTCCACTAATTAATACAATTGGTAGTACAGTCAGTTTAGCTATCATATATATATATACATACACACACACACACACACACACACACACATTTATGTGTTTTTCCTCCTTTGCCTTATTTTAATTACTTTTCCTCTTTGAATAGTTTCTTACTCTTACACAGTATTCATTATAGATTTTGGAACATATGTAATTTTTAAGTTTATTACACTAGAGAGACAACACAGTATTTACATGTGAGTTTGATTTATTTCACTTGTGAGTATGGTCTCAAGTCATGTCCTTCACTTATAAAAGTCTCGATGCAATCTTTATAGCTGAGTAGTATTCCATTGTATAAAAATACTATTTTTTATCCATTCCTTGATTGATGGATACTTGGGCTGTTTCCAAAATTTGGCTATTATAAATTGTGCTGCTAGAAACATTAGTGCACATATATCACTGTGGTATGATGCTTTCAGTTCTTCTAGGAAAATGCCCAGGGAGCAGGATAGCTAGGTCAAAAGGAATCTCTAATCTTAGCTTTTTGAGGAATCTCCACACTGATTTCCACAGTGGTAGTACCAGTCTACGTTCCCACCAACAGTGGAAAAGAGTTCCTTTTCCCCACAGCCCCTCCAGCATCTTTTATTGATTTCTTGATCCTGGCCATTCTTTCTGGGGCAAGATGGAATCTCAGTGTTGTTTTAATTTGCATTTCCCGAATGACCATTGAGAATACATCTGTATTTATAGAGTATCTTGTAACAAAATTGTTTTTGAAATAAAATTGCTGTGATATAAGGTATCACATTTCACACTTTATTACATATTACTAAACTCTAAAAATTATTAGGATGTTAGAGTATTATGTACATAAAGAGTCATGGCCCTCTGTAATATTATCAGCCCTACATAAGACAATAAATGCCATTTGTCTAGGAAAGTATTTCACCTTCATTCCTTTTCTATATGTTTGGAATGGAGAGTAAGTATAATTATTGTAGGGAATTTGGATATATACATATCACAATTTGATTCTTTTTACTTCTCCTCATAAATACTTTAAAATGTTGATTTTACATGTGAATGTAAACATTCTAATGCAAACACCCCTGCTCTCTTTAGACAGCAAAAAAGACAGGATTGTACTTGGAATAACAATACAGGTGAGAAGAGATGTACATGTAAAAATTTAAATGCTGACTAAAGAAATAGTTCACACTGTCACAGAGGAAGAATTATAATAGCAAGCATAGTTTACACAATAATCTTTTAACATGGATGATATGGATAATCTCATTGTATTTTTTTCTTTGAATAGTCTAAAGGGAGTTTATTCTCATGTAAAGAACAATTGTGATCAAGGAGAAAATAATTATTTCAACTAAAAAATTAATCTTATTAAAGGTATAATAGTAAATATCTGACAGTGATAATTTTAAACAGTAGTATAATTAATGTGTGCTTTTAATGGTAACAGTTTCATGCTTACTGAGAATACTTAATTAAAAATATAATGATAAAATTTGGATGAGTATCAAAGGAAGCCATCTCACATTCAGTCTCAACCCATAGACTATGTGTATTCATTTTATGTTTTTAAATGCATTTAGGAACAATTTGAAAAGCAATATAGCAATATCACATGTGCTTTGTAATCTGATTATGAGAAGTTTTTATAATCATCACTGTGTTTTAAAAGGTGTTATTCTATTACATAAACCTTTGTGTTTATTATGGCAGAGTAATTCTGTCACAGCGTCACATTTCTCATTATTTATTCTTTTTCAGTAAGAACAATGACTGATTCTTTAACCAGGAGGGAAGGATTATCCAAGTACATGTTGGAAGGATAGTACATTGCATAGTTCTAATTTTATTAATATGACATTAGTATAACTTATACCATAGGCAACCACAGAAAATCAACAGTTGTCTAAAAGCTGAGTCATACTACACCCAATTTAATAAATATCTGAATAGTGTAATTTAAAATTTGATGTGAAGATTTTATTTCTTTGAGGTATCTATCTACAATACAGTTTTATTTAACTAATTTCAAAGATACAACACATCAAAAAGTAATTCTGTGTTAAGAGACTATAACCAAGATTTTGTTCTTGACATATTAAACTGTGAAGCCTCTACTGAAGCATAATAGAAAATACATGTGACTACTGCAATAGGCATTTTTTAAAAGAAAATAATTATGCATTATGCCTATTGTTAATCAATTTCAATTTTATTCCTTCTTAAGGATGTAGGAAATATAAGAAAGTACTCAGAAAAATTCATTGCATTTTTCTTGATTGTGGATCAAAACTATTATAAGTTGAAATGTTTCAAGAATGGGACTGAACCAAATGGAAGTACTTGGAGCATTGAGACACCTGGAAAGCAACAGCTTTATTATGCCAGTGCCCTGGCAGGAATCCAGTTCCCAATCACCAGGCTTGACGGGGTTAAACAAAAACTTGTATATGTTGTAAGCAGGATGTACAAAAAACTGATAGTGGGTTACTTTAAAATTGGTTATATATGTTTCATAATATGTGGTTAGGTAGATTCATTTTGGGCAGGTTTAATTGGGGGTAGAGTGGGGTTTCATATAGTAGGAAGGTCAGAGGCTTGGGCAAGCAGATAATATCATGTCTTTGTCTGAGCCAGTGTGTCCCTAGGTTATAAGCCCTTAAAACAAGCTAGTATAATAGGATATGGGCTATCATACTATGTATTAACCAGGTTTATGGGCTGAGTAGTGCAGCCGGGTCATACTTATCTCACAAGTTGCAGTTGGCATGGTATGTCAAGGTCTACTGAGTCCTACAGTGTAAATGTGAGACAGGCTGGGCCTGCAGATCCTGTCTTTAGCATAATGTCAGCCAGTGAGTTTTAAAGTTTTGCCTCAAAATTACTAATACAGTTCAAGTAGTGAGGACTACAAAGGACATGCTTAAGAAGGACAATAGGATTCTCAATAGCTTCTCTGTGACTCATTCATTCAAGCAAAAGGTGTAATACAACCATTTTCTTAGCAAAAGGTCTATAATTTTCTAATAGCTACAACAGAAATAGAATATAAATAGGGAACTATTCTCAAGAGAAAAATAATATGATCAAAGAAATTTAAAAGGTAAAGGAGAAACTTGAACAGCCATTTCTAGCTTCTCCAAAATACCCTCTAGGAAAAAATAATTACCTAAATTTGATTATTCCTTGTAACAGTATTATGTATTTCAAATGGTAAAATGTACTTATATTAAAGAAACAGCTACGCATGTACAATAATATTGCTCAATACTATTTTTGGAAGTTCCATCAAAAATAAGAATAAAATAGAATATTATAAGGCCAGAAAAAGAGAAGTAATCATTTTCTGGTAATATGCATACTCAGAAAAATCTTTCTTCTGAAAAAAATATTTGTAAAAGAGATTGGATAATAGGCATCCCAAAAAGTCAACTTGTGACTATATTGACGATCAAACAGAAAAAATAAGAGGACATATTTCATTCACAATTGCTATCAAAATTATGCCAATATAAATTTTGATACTAATATATGATCAAAAAAATAACCCATGGAATCATGGTAGGTGCTGACTTCCTAAGGAAGAAAACTACAGAAACAAGCAAATATAGTGTGTATGCACGAATACCCTTTCTACACTACGCACGCAGATTCTGCTTTTGGCTTCTTATCTAAAAATGGTTGGCCTACCTGAGACCAAAACTCAGCCAATTGGTTACAGGAGAAACAGTACCAAACAAATTGTTTTGACAGGGAAGGGTCGCGAGTCAAGAGGCAATCGACCTCAACACGGTCTAACTTTCTGGTGGTGCCAGAGGACAGTCCCGGAACAGTTTTCATTGAGTGCTGATTCCATCAATTTGAAAGTAGTCCACAGCCGTCCCCCAGGTAGTAGCAATTGCACGTCTCGGGTTTGCATTCAAGGTTCAATTTTTTAACTGTAACCTTTTTTTACAGGGGGAAAAAAAAAATAACTACGTTTCTTCTCTACAGGACCAAAAAGCCGTGAGGATTTAATAACATGAACTTATTCAAAGAGCGGAAATCTTTACAAACACTATATAAATAATCAGCAGAAGCTGACCCTTTCACAGAAATGTTTACCCTCTTTCGGAGGAACAAGCGGGGAGGGAATCTTAAGACATCAATCCCAATCTACAAGGAAATACAACAGAAGCAACACTACGAACGGCCTACACAGACGTCAGTTAGGTTACGCAATCACGCCTATTTTCCATAGGAACGCACCATCCCAGCGCACCACAGTCTGCGCGGAAGTGGCTTTGTCATCTTTTCCGGTATGCTCTTTCACGTAACAGCATACTTTTTGTTTAAGCAACAGCGCTCTCAGAAGGCGGATGAGTTTTGGTCAGAAGAAGCCGCCGTTGGGGGGCGTGGCGACGCAGCCGCAGTAGAAGCCGTTCGCGTGCTAGTAATCGCCCCTGTGCTTCCGTGATTCACTATGGCGCAGCCGGTTTCTCTCAATCTAAATAACGAGGTGAGTGCCGGGTCGCGGCTTATCTTGCAGATTCTCAAAACCACCCGCTTTCTTGTGATTGGTGCTGGGCTGAGTCGAGGATGGAGGACTGGGACCGACTGGAGAATCCTCTTGGTGGCTCTATGCGAGCGTCCCGCCTCTCGGTTTGGCTACCCTGAACTCCTTCGCGGCCTCGGTAACTGAAGCAGGAGACCTGTCTCTGACTGTTAGGCTCCCACACGAAATGTCAGTTTACTTGGGTATCAGCATCCTCTTACATGAAGGTCAGAATCTACTTTCTTCATGAGGTTGTCAGAAATTAGCTAAGAGTACAGTGCCTGGCCCTTAATAAACTCTTAGTACACATTACCTGCTTTTTATTCGTTGTCAAAGTTAAAGGAAGAACTTAAGAATTGTAGTTTGTCCTAAGAATTGTTGATACTGAATGAGTGTGTGCAGTCAGTATCTCGTTTCTTTTTCCACGTAACTGCCCGAAAGGCTTGCTTAGATTACCAGATATAGACATGCAAACTTGATCTAATCATAAGTATTAACTGTTCTTTCCCAAGAAATAATAGAATTAGTAGAACATAGAATTATAGTCATCTTAGCTATATTGTGTATATATGTGCAAATTTATGTCTTTTTTGCTTTCCCCTTCTTTCCTCCTTTCCCGTTACAATTAGTTTTAATCATACGTTGTGCCAGAAAAAAATCGACAGGCTATTTTCCATTAAATTATGATATATTAAAGATCATAAATCAGAAAGATGTTTTTCAGAATTCACAGGAAACACTTGTTAGCGTCATGTCTAATTATCTAATTTTGACTTTGATTGCAGTGATGATAGGAAATCATTTATATACAATCTTCTCAACAGCTAAAGTTTGACCTTTATAGGAAACTTTTGCTAACTCACCTTATTTTAGTGTCTATTCCTTATACAATCAGGTCCTTTCTATCTTGGGATACATTGCTTCTATTTTCCTTTGTTTATACACCTATCCCTACTACATACATGCTCTATAAATGTTTGCCAGATGAATAATTTAATTTATCAAACCAGGAAGCATATGCATCACACACTAAAATCTATTATATCTTTATATGCAAGAGATAAAAAGGACAAAAGGAGGTGATATTTAAAATTAATGAGAAAACTACAAAGAGAAAAATACAGTCATGTGTAAATTTATATACAAATTGAAAAATATCAAAAAAGTCAACTAAGTAGAAAATAAAACATATAACAGATGAATGCTAATATGTGTTATTATAAAATAGCTCCTGGAAATTGACAGAAAATCTGCAAAAAGCTGGGCAAAAGGTACATGCAAGTACTTATTCAAAAAGGAAACATCCTATAAAGTTTCAATTCACTGTTTCAGATCTTTTTGCCACTGTTATAAATTAAATTATATTGCCAACTAGATCTATTGTACTAGTCTCTCCCAGCTACTAAAAGTGACCTTTCTTAACTTTGCATACTGCTGCTGGAGTATAATACTCTTTTCAAAACATCTAGCACATCACTGCATTTTTAGAACCCACTGAGCTATTTGGATAAAGATTAAACAAAGGCAGACACTTTTACTGGCTTTAAATTTTACTCATGTGTCTAATACCTGTTTGTTTAATGGTCTTTAATAGATTACGTCTCCTTACTTGGGATTGAGATGTATATCGCAGAGGTTATAACACCTGAGTTTACGTACAATTTTGTGTTTGTTGACTATAGAGAGCAGAATTTGTAAGTTTCACCAAATTTCCAAGTTTATTAGGTCTGTCGAATTGCCTTTGAGGTCTCTGTGATCACAGTGTGATTTAGTTCCTACTAATTCTAGTAATTCTTGTTTAACTTTTAACTATAGTTTTATTATATTTTAAATATAGTTGTTTCCTTAAAAATTATATGATAGTCAAATTTTATATGAAATTTCCCAGAACGTTTTTCCTATGTCTTCTATTCTTAATAATTGGAAAGATCATTCCATGTCTTCTATTCTTAATAATTGTATTTTTATAAAAAATTTTTCAAGGATAAAGACTAATTTACAAATTACTTCTAAACTCTAGGTTGTTAAAATAATTTATTCTTGTAAAGTAAAAATTTTTTTGCTGTTTTTAGAAACAAACCATCACTTTTTATTCCATCTACAATTATTGAATGCTTTATCTTCCTCAGAATTCTATGTAAATTTAATGTAAAAATTTAACTGTTTTAATGTATGTTTAAGTGTATAGGATTGATAGCCATATTTCTAAGTTTTTGTTGGATAGTGGAACAGAACTGGTTGCAGTCTGTTTGAATCCCCACTTTATATGCTCCACTTTAGTATCTTGAATAACTATTTGTAAGAGGACAATCTATAATCATCCACTAGTGATTTCTTACTGTTTATGTAGTATTGGGGCTGGGGATTTAGCTCAGCGGCATAAGTGCCTGCCTTGCATGTGTGAAGTTGTGAGTTCGATCCCCGGTACTGATAAAAAAAAAAATAGAAAGTATGTATTATTTCTACCCATTTTTCGTTTTGTTTAGCCTTTCTTTAAATAGAATTTTTTTTAAAAGACAAAAAAAATTGAACTGTTTTGGTATAATTACTTCCCAAACTGCTAGCAAAGTCCTTGTTTGCAATAAGTAAATACTGGCAAAATAGAAACACAAGCACGACTTTTGTCACTAGTGTTCAGATGAGAGGAGAATCTCCTAAATATTGACTTGTTTCCTCCTTTTTCATTAAGGCTATAAAAGGAAGGACGCACAATTGAATGCAACAGTGCTGTAATGTTTAGTGAGTCAAGAATTTGAAAAATACCTGGACATGCTGTAGTTATGTTTTTCTGGCAGCAGTGATGTGTAACGTTTGAATTACGGGGTGCGGTGATTTGATGGAGTGCTTTGATTCCAAAGAAGGGGCATGAGTCTTTGTAGAAACTAGTGTATTATTCTTTGATAGAAAATTACCAATAAGCCCGTTAGAAAATGACGTAGCATTGCTTATGTTAGGCCTGCCTTGTCCTTGGTTTTGCTTTCTGTCATTTCAGATAAATAGGTCAAGTGTAATTCTGAAAATATGAAGTGGAAATTCCAGAAATACACAATTCATGAAGTTTTAAATTGGTCACCATTCTGAACATAGTGATGTGCACCTCAGTTGGGAATTATGGCTTAGGCCGGGATGTCTGGTATATTACTGTAATTCTGTTATCAGTTGATTTTGTTAATCTCTTTCCATGTGTAATTTATTAATCACTGTAAATACAAATTTATCATAGGCAGATGTGTGTAGCAAAAAACATGGTACATACAGGGATGGTGCCATCTACAGTTCAAGGCATCCCTTGCTTATCCTAGAACATACATGGCTTGAATAGGGAGTACTGCAGTAAAGATAGAAACAAAAACACCAAAGGACAGAATGGTTTTCCTCCCTGTATTATAAAAGGTAAAAGATGTCAAGAACCATGTTCGTATGTGTATAAGAAGTTACAAAACTCGTTCATAATTGGATTTATAGTATTTTTTTATAATTTATTCTGAAATAGTAAATTAGGGTTTGTTCCATCCCCAAGAAAAACCAGTTTTTGATTGTTAACCTTTCTGTAAGTTTGTCAGGTGGCAGCATATGTCTAGTAATGGTTAAGTTAGGTAATTACTGAGCATTCAAGTTGTCTTAAATTGTTGCTCAGGAGAAGTAAGACCTGTAATTCAACCATAAGTTATATGAATGACTAAATTAAGATTCTTTTTATAAAACCATAATACTTCAAACATGTAGTTTGAACCTAGTATAATAATGCAGTTGTACTCTACTTCTTATGTTTAGCAATTACCAAATGTTCTGTCATATAATATTTTATTCCATACACCTTCCTTTTCACCTCAGGTATAATTATTATTTTTCTGGTGTTTGTCTGTCTGTCTGTCTTTGCCTCTCTCTCTTTCTATCTTTGAGAAAGGGTCTCGTTCTGTAGTTCAGAGTGGCTGTGAACTCACTATGTAGCTCAGACTGGCGTGGAACTTATGGCAATCCTCCTGCCTCAGCCTTCCAAGTGTTAGGTCATAGGCATGCACCACCATGGTCAGCTGATGTGTTTATTCATTTGTAGGTTTCATAATTTTGTAACATATATGTGTCTACACCTACTACATAGTGCTGTTTTATATGTTTTTAAATTTTGGGTGTGATGTTACACCGGTTAATGTAATGTACATATCAGATTTCTGTTAACTTTTTCACCAGACATGTTTAGGATTTATCCATGGTAATACATGCAGGTTTTCTGGACTTACTTAAAATTCTATATTCTGCATTTATTTGAAATACTATATTTTTAATGCTTTATATATGCTTTAGACTATATGTGCTTTGTGTGCAAGAATAAATCATTTACATAATAGTCTATTGTTGGATGTATGTCTTTCAAATGATTCCTAGAAGTAGGGCTCTTGTCAAGTGTTGCCGAATTTTCTTCCTGAAAGAGTATACAGTTGGCGTTTTTACCAGTAAGTTCTACGAGTGCCTGTTTTCTCGTGGCTTCAGGTTCAGAACACAGTGTCCTGTTTTTTTGTTTTGTTGTATTTGCCCATCAGTGGTGGTGAGTTTAAGGCATGCATGCTGCAGCAGGTTGTATGTAATGTTGAAAGCTCTAAAAGTTTCCCGTCAGTGTTACAGGTGAGTGAACAATCAGAAGGTCCAGTGTATTCTGAGAGACACATGTATAGGCAAATTTTCCTGATGGGGCCCATGAGTTTTTGTTATAGGTTAATCAAATTTTTGTTACAGGTTAATCCAGATATGTATCAAAATAACTGTAACAGTAGCTGGGCATGGTGGGGCACACCTGTAATCCCAGCACTTGGAGGCTGAGGCAGAGGATTGCCATGAGGTTCAGACCAGCCTGGGCTTCCCAGTGAGTTCAAAGCCATCCTGAACTGCATCATGAACCCTGTCTCAAAAAGATAATAAACAATAAGCTTGCGGGAAAATAGGCTAGCGGGTAAACAACAAAAGTGATTTCAGAAGTCTTAATTTTGTGTGTGGCTTAAAGTTAGTTGTCAGCTCTGTATATCAGAAATTTGTTACTATTGTATACCCAGATATATGTAGCTCTTTCTCTCAAAAGTTGATTTCCATTAACATAAACTTATACTCACATTGTAAAACACATTCTTTTCCTGTCTGCTGATCATCATCAGCTGGTCTGAAAGTGAGTTTAGTGCATGATTCACTGTTGGGCTATGATGCAATGTTTCACAGAATTTAGTTATCGAAGGACAGAGTAGATTTTCAAGTCTCAGAGCTGGAGAACTCTTTTTTTCTTTGGAATTTGCCTTAGCTGGATATTGCCTGCTTTTGCTTCCTGTGTCTGGGTTGACTCTTTAATCTACTCCTGTGGCCATTTTCCAGCAGTTGTATTAGCTTCTTGCCTTATTTGTAATCGCACTCTTGTGGTGTTTGCTCTAAAAGTGATCCAGGTTGCCCTGCCTGTTCAGAATTTACCAGGTTATCTCTCTGGGTAGACTGTTGACATCTTCTCTCAGCATCTGTGCAGTCGATGGTACAAGTTTTAAGTCTTTCTCTCTTGATTTCATAAAATACATTCCTTCCTGTTTGGAATCCCTCAACTAAATTTATCAGTCTTAGTTGTGATTACATTAAGAGTTTTCGTTGAATTTCTGCCTTCACACTCTTTCTTTACACTTTTCTTTCATTTTGTTTCTTCTGTGTAAATATATTTTATTTCCATTAGTGTATGTTTTCTCCTTACTTGGTTTACTCCTCTTTCCTTCCCAAACAGTATCATACTGTTTCCGTAGTCCCAGCAATGATAGTTCTGCTTGCTTTTGGCTGGAGAATTTTAAGCACTGCCTTGGCTCAATGACAGTGTTGGGTGTTTGGTGCTTGTCTACTGATAAGTCACATCTAAAACTCCAACTAAAAAGTTGCTCATCATCAGATTTGCAAAAATAAAACTGTTTAGAGGGAGCAGTTATGAAAAAGAATGTTTAATTCCATTTTTATGTGAAATGAATATACTTTATACACTGAACTTTTAAAATTTTTCTGCTGCCTCTACATAAATACTGTGAAAGTTAAACTAGAAACATGTTTTTTGGGAATTATATAAAACTAAGTTTATGAGGCATAAAAATTTTTCTTTTAAAATTTTCTTACAAAGTAATGACAAACATAGTACTTCCAAAATTGAAATTTTAAAATTGGAAACTTTTTCAGAATATAACCAAGGACCAACTCTGTTCATTGCAGTTTACTAATAGTTTGTAAATGGTGTAATCTAATGTACCTGCAAAGTTCAGCAGTTAGAAACTTAATTACCATATTTTAATGTAATTTATCATTCATACTGTGAATGAATTAACTTATAAATGTACTATAAGCCTATTTAATGAATTCTTTTTGACAATTAAATGTTGTCTAAGACTTTTCACTTATACAGTACATGAATGCTTTTCCTAAATATATTTAACTTTGAAACAAATTCCAAGGCTGGGGATTTAGCTCAGCGGCATAAGCGCCTGCCTTGCAAGCAGGCAGTTGTGAATTTGATCCCCGGTACCAATAAAAAGGAAAAAGACAAAAAAAAAAAAAAAAACCAAAAAAAAAGAAACAAATTCCAAAGGTGTTAATGTATAACAGGAAGAAAACCCTGATTATTTGTGTTCCTTTAATCTAGTATGCAGTTGATTTGAAATAGTGAATTGAAAAATAAATACTGTTATGTTTCAGGTAATTTATTGAATAGATACTCATTCATTGACCACATATTGTACGTCATTGCATTTTAGGTTTAAAGATGTAGTGTTGACTAAAACTAGATATTTGACTTTCATTGAATGTAAGAGGAGGTGTTAAACATAACCAGATTAAAGAAAAATATTAAGGGTCAGGTAAGTTCATAATTTTGGGGGGTACTGGGGATCAAACTTTAAAACCTCACACTTGTGAGGCAAGCACTTGTGCTGCTGAGCTGTATAACCATCCCCTTTACAATCATTTTTAGACTATTTAGTTTCTGTACTGTTTATGGAAGAGCTTTTGAGTTCTTCAAACGGGGAATATGGTTAAACTATTAGACCAGGTATATAATATTAAAACTCAAAGTTAATTGTACTTGTTTTGAGTTATGTCTTTAATTTTGGCTTTTTTCCCCAAAGGTTGTGAAGATGAGAAAAGAAGTGAAGAGAACACGAGTTTTGATCATCAGAAAACTTGTCAGGAGTGTTGGCAGACTGAAGTCAAAAAAGTCAGTGCTTAAAGTAATGATCCTGTGACTAATAAAATGTCTAAAAATGTTTTTACTTAAATACTCAAAATTAGAGCATGGGATATAAAGAAATACTTAAATATCTTGTTCAGTACTTTGTTTTATACAGAGATGACCTGAGTGATACAGAATGTGTATTGTCCGCATGTCCTGACATGCTTTGGACTCTGTGCCTAAGACATGGGGTGAAACTCTCCATGTAGTCTTTTCAGAACATGTTAAGGTGGTAATATCAGATGTAAGCCTAGTAATGTTGTGGGAAAATTCCCAAGCCAAGCCAGAACAAACCAAAGGAAGACGCTTTGCACTGAGGGGATAAGGCAGCATTTAATCTTTACACCAGTGGACTGTTGGATCTTCATGCCAGTGGACTGTTGCAGAATAATTCCTTAAAGGCAACATCGCTGAATTTAGGAAGAGTTTAGTTTATATAGAATTTAGAAGTGGGAGGGAGGTACAAAGCAAGTGACAAAACATTGTATGATTGGTGACTTAACTGAGTAATATATTGACAGGCAGGCTAGTCTTGAAACAGAGGAATTGTTTATCATAATATAAAAACATACTGGAAACCAGGAAGGGCCGTCATGGTTAATAAGCATAGTTAAAGGTGTTACCATAATATAGAAACATTCTGGGGAGAGGGCCCTTACAGCGTGGGGCTTTAGACACTGTTAGGGTCAGTTGAATTTAGCAGAAACAGCAGAACAGAAATTTGGTCAGAGCCTTCTAACTAATCATGAAATGTCTGTAAGTTTGCTGTATTGTAAATGTGTTTCTATGAAGATTTTATATCATTTTTTCTTGAATTACTGTTTAAGATGAAACCTTTAGTACCCTGTGAAGTACTTAATCAGTTTATTGTGTGCTATGAGTTTTTGAAAAAGTATTTTATGTTTTTCAGCATTAACAGTGTCAGTAATAAAGTAGTTATAATTCTTGTAGTTAAAGCCTGAATATTTACACAGCCTTCAAATGTGTTTTGTTCCTGGTTAATTTTCTTTTCTAACAAATGTTCCAGAAATAGCTCTTCTATTTAAAATAAGTGTGAAATTGGACATTTAACACTTATTTTTAATTCCAGAGAACTAATTTTCATTTAATAAACATAATGAATCCTTACGGATTGTGAAGCATGTATTACATTAAATACAATGTAATATGATTGATTGAGTGATTGATTGATTGATTGACTGAAAAGTGTTAGCTTCCAGATACGGGGCTTAAGAAGGGGAACTCAATTACTGATCTAACACCAAGACAGTGCTTATTTACTAGTTGCAAACAGTTGGATTTGTTTATGAAATTGGTGTATGTGTTAGAGTGGGGAAAGCAAGAGGGAATGCTGGGGATTTAGCTTAGCAGCATAAATGTCTGCCTGGCAAGCACAAGATCGCAAGTTCTATTCCCAGTACCAAAAAAATAAAAACCAAAAAGAGGGAATCCAATAGGCTTAAAGTAAAAACTCTTCATTATGATATAATTAAAATGAATGCTTTACCTGCATATATATTTTTTTTCTGCAGGGGGACTGAAGATGCACTGTTAAAAAATCAAAGACGAGCACAACGATTGCTTGAAGAAATCCATGCAATGAAGGTAAAGATCTGCGTACAAACGTAAAGGTGTTTCTGTGGCTTTTATCAGCCTACATTTTGTGTATGTATGGTGTTATTTGAAGATTTATGAGATTGTGCAAATCTTACTAATATGTGTCCATTTGGTGAAAAATGTAGCACATTTAGAAAATTGTAGTGTTAGCCGGGTCTGGTACTCAAGCCTGTAATCCCAGCACTCGGGAGGCTGAGGCAGGAGGATCATTGCAAGTTCGAGACCAGCCTGGGCTACAAAGTGAGCTTAAGACCAGCCTGAACTGCATAGCAAGACCCTGTCTCAAAAAGACAAAAAAAGAAAATTGTAGTGTGTTAAAGTTTGTTTTCCCGTTTTTTACTGAATTTGTCAAAATACTGGACTAATTTGAGTCAAAAGTGCCAAACAAAACTCAGATGTGTTCAATAGTGCCTCATACTGAAGGATTTTATTTTTATTGTAACTTTATGTATGTATGTATGTATACATATATATTTGTTTTTGGTTCCAGGAATTGAACTCAGGCAGGTACTGTGCTGCTGAAATATAATTCCTAGCCCTTTACTGTAACTTTAGGCTTGTAACCTAAATCAAGTTCAAGAATTAAAAGTGTTTGTGTTATTTAAGCATGTGCTTTGTCTAGTACCAACTCTACATTTTTATGAGCTGGTGTCAGCATTTTATATAGTGCTGTAGTTAACTTCAAGTAAAATTAGTGTTGGACCAACATGATCCAGAGTTTCCTTTTTTTCAGTCATAATTTGCACTAGCATAATTTTTAAGTCTCACTGCACTTACTTTGGGGAAACTTTGATTTACCAAATGACATACTATTAAATGTCCGAGAGGTAATTTTATTGTAGAACTTAAAAACAACATTTGGTACCAGCAATTATCTTAATTGCAGGGTATTTTGCATGTATGTTTGGCTATTACAGTTTGGTATATCTTCCATGTGTTGAGTTAGATAAAAGAGAAAGAGAATTCTTGTAACAGCATTTTGATTGAACTAGATTATCAGAACTTTTTACCTGTCTTCTTTTTAAAGGACAGTGAAGTGTTGAATGTGATAGTCTTGTCTCAATATGAAGAGAGGCACAGGAACGTGAGTCTTACATGTCAAGCATATTAATTTCTTGAATTAGCACTCCCCATAATACTGCAGAATTCATGGAATCCACTTGATATATCCCTTTTCTCAAATTTTAATCCTCTTTTTATTCAGTTACTGAGGAAATATTAATGAGTTATATACTGTGTTTTTGTGTGTCATGATACTCGTATGAGGAAGAAAATCTGTATAGAGGTTGTTACTTTGAGGATGGGACTAAGATAGGAAGTTATGATTTATCTTTTCCTTTCACTGTCTGTTACCCAGTCTTTACCAGGTTGCATTGCATATCTAGATTTTTCTCTGTAATTTTTTTCTGAATAGTAATTTTTACAGTCCTAAATTACTCACAGGCTTTGAGATTTTATACAATGGTTGGTTTTGTTTTATATGGAAAGAATACTATACATATATACACACACACGGGGAGGTGCTTGTATACAGTGTATGAAGAGTTGATAACCAGTGATTATCTTTGAAATAGTTCCATTTTTAACTCCTAATAATTACCTTTATTTAGTTGGTTAGATACTTTTTTCTTACCTAACTGTAAGTCTTGTTTTCTGTTATTCTTAAATCTCATTTCCTGAGGAAAATCAGGTAGCCCAGTGATAAAAATTGTGTCATTATTATAGTTTGTTTTCCATTGTGTTTTGCACTGTTACTACAAAAAAAAAAATTGCAGGATTGTCTTGCAGAAAACTAAATTTCATGACCTGTATATTTCTTCAATTCATAAAATGTATAGTATGCATATTCCTTGAATTTGTAGCAGGAGTTTGAGATATCTGGGTTTGTCAGTCTTACTTCAGCTTATGTTGAAATGCCTTTTAGACACTGGGTTAAATTTAACATATAAAAACCAAAAGGAGAAGAGTACTAGAAAGACTATGTGTGTACTTTCCCTGAGAGTTGGACTTTTTTGTTTTTGTTTTTATCTTTTTGGTACTGGGGATCCAACTCATGGCCGTGTGCTTGCCAGGCAAGCGTTTGTACCACTAAGCTAAATCCTTGGCCCTTCATTTTTTGTTTATAATGCTTTTATGAAATTGATCTTTTCTAAAAGAAGCAAATACATTTAGCATTTTTCTTAGTTGAAAGATAATTTATAATTTTCTAAGGAAGTGTTTTTCATATGTAAGGAAGCATCAAAGAAAGAGTCAACTAAAGAGTAGATCCCAGTCTCAAATTTGAAGGAAACCGCTATTCATTTTTCTAGAGGAGTTTTTTTCTTAGCTCATATACCAGAAGATTTTTAAAGTCTTACTTATAAGACTTGTCCTATACTTGCTTTCTCTGATAATAGGGTATTTCATTTCAAGATGACATCCTTAGGAAGAAAACCCAAGGTATTTTTAGAATTTTTTTTTTTTTTTGTATGTGTGTAGGATGGGGAATAGCCTGACTTTTATGATACTGTAAAATCATAGTTTCTAATTTTATAGGATATAATATTTGATCCCAACTCTTTGATGCTTTTCCTAATAGTATTTATACTTTCAACTTTAAAGTATACATTGACATTACTTGAAATGTTTAAAAAAAATCCCATCTTCAATAATAAAGTTAATAACGACCATTTATCAGGCATTTAGTATTCATTGTCTTATGAGGTAGATCCCATTATTATCCCTGTCTTACAGAATAAGAAACTGAAGCTTAGAAAAATGAAGAGACCTGCCCAAGGTCAAATAATTGTTAAGTAGTGGACTCCAGAGCTGATTATAAAGCTTAATAAGGTTACTTTACAGCATTCGTTTTATTTGATAGTATACAGACTTACTGAAAAATACCTTGAACCACTCTCCCAAGATTGGATGAGGTGGTTATAGCATGATATTGTGTAGGAAAAAAAATAAAACAAGACACAAAGATCTGCACTGTGTCCTAAATCCTTTCCTTCCCCCAGGTAGGTGAGCACAGTTGTCTGTGTCTGTGTCCCCATCCCATCATACCGTTCCCTGTGTCTTTGCCTGAGTAATCTAATGAGAACTTAAGTATTCCTTAAAACTTTGTTCTTCCTATTTTGCATATTTTAAAATTTCTTTTTTATTCTTCCTTTACTTTTTTGGGTGTAACTTAATTATTGAAACCATCCTTTTAGTATATACATCAGCTGTTCAGATTACTCTTATCTTACAATCCTTCAGTTTGTTTCAAAGGAGTTGTTAGTGTATTCGTGTATTGATTAGGAGCTGAAGAGATTTTATGTAATAGTAGTAGTGTGATAACTACCACATCCTTTGAACATAACCACAACACTGTAAAGTAGGCACAATTCTATTTTAAAGGACATTTTCAGAGCTGTTCAAGGTTGCATACCCACATTAGGTTAAAGATTTCTTATCTATTTAACAGTCAGATTGTTTAGAATTTTCTGGTATTTCAGGTTATATGTGCTTTTTAAATAAAATTATTGAGATTTTTCTTGTGAGTACTTAAAAATAAATTTTTATAGGATAAAAGATACATTATTATATCCTATATTATTTTTATATTTGTGTCAAATTAACATTTAATTCACTTACACTACTAAAGTAATTGTACTAAAAGTAGTATTAATCTTATGCGTTTTGACAGCTTCATCTTTTGTGAACCAGCACAAAGCATAATATTATCAAATCAAGACTGCATTTTAGAGATTTCTTCTAGACTATAGGTAGGCTAATAGATTTAAGGATGTATATGCAAGCAGAAGGCATAGATATAGAGACATTTGAGACTGATTTTCCACCTCAGACACTTAACTTTCTGGCCTAGAGTTTCCAGAGTTTGGTTATTAGCTCATTACAGGAAGTATTTAAATTTTGAAATGTCTTCATTCTCTTCCCCAATATTGTATAGCTTATATGATTCTGGGTTTATTGTAAGCATCCTTCACAAGGGTATAATACTAAGATCATTGTGCAAATAAGGATTTTCCTCCTAAGGATATTAGCTTATTTACAAAGAACACTTATTAAATGTGTAAATATTTACACTTTTACCTACAAATTTGTGGAAAATACTTTGGAACAATAGAAAATTAGAATATTAGAATCTAAAAATAAAAATGCATTGTTTCCTATCCATGTTTGTTCTTTTATTGGCCCTGCTGACTTCAGTCATGCGGTTTAAACGTTGTCTGTTAGATTTCTCCATCATAAAGTTACCTTGTCCTGTTTTCAGTTACCAAGTAATCTGTCAGATAGTATTTTGACACTATGAATATCCTGTAGTCTCTCAAAATCCAATGATTGATGAAATAGTTGAATCAATTAGAACATTTTATTTTTTTCTATTTCTGTTTCTCTGATTTTTATTCGCTAAGAGGAATTTTCTTATTAAATATCATTGGGAAAAGTTAAAATAGCCATTTTTGCCTAAGGAGAAAAGATATGGAAAATATCTTTTGTTCTTCATATGCTGGGCAAATTTGCATTCTGACATTATGAAGATTAATTTGTCCAAATTGGATTTCATTCTTTTCCTCTAGTAAGTATGGTTTTAGCAGTTAATTTCTTGGCTAGCCTTTAACTTCAAATTACATTTCTTGTTGTCTTTTACAAACTGCTTTGCGTCTGTCCGCATGAGTGTGTTAGGTGTAGAGGTCCCTTTTCTCTCTGTTGGGTATCCTTGCTCTCTGATGTGACAAAGTATCCTGGATTCATCTTTCCACAGCTACCTCTGCCATTTTACTGAGCCATGAAAATTGCACCTAGCCTTAGACTAAGCTCTGAAAAGATGATGACTACTCGTATAATTTTCTGAATGCTTCATGCCATGTAAGTTTAGACTTCCACATCAGACTGTTTGCTTATGTTTAATCTAGTTCTTTCAGATTAGACCTTTGGGTGGTAGAACCAGGATTCATGATTTTTTTAGGTTTGGGGAGGCCACTTAATCATGTTTTGTATTAGTCTCTTAATGTGGAGATTAACAATCTAAAATTTAAATTTTGCTGAGTTGAAGTTTTAAGTAAAAAAAATCAATAAAATGTAGCCAATGAAAGAGAAGAAACCCATAGAGTGTGGTATCCAGAAGCCGAGTGAAACAACTATTTCAAGAATGAAATGGTGAGTTATGTATTGTTTTCAAAATTAACACTATTATTTTTTTATAATATACAAACTCACTAGATCATGGTTAGTGATTAATTTCTCAAACTGAAGTTTTTCCATGGCTTAGGTTGATTTACAGAACTATGCTTATATAACAAAAATGATTTTTATCCTTTTTTAAATTTATTTTTATTTTACTTTAAAGAAGATAAAAGAATAAAACCAAAACAAATTTGTGTAAGAGATACAGGACTTCAAAACATTACAGAACCAACAATAGTTGCCATCATGCCTTTTGATGTCTTCAAAATAGCTGCAGATAACTTCAGACATAGTAAAAATCAAGTAGAACAGAATAGAATAGGAACAATAAAAACAAAACGGTGAATGCAATAAAGGATTTCAGAACAAGCCAATAGTAAATCCAAAATTGCTGCCTTCATATATTTTGCTTTCTTTGATTTAGCTGCTGATGCCATCAGATTTAACATGATCAAACAAAACAAAAGAGCATAAAACCCAACCCAACAAAACAGTGGAAACTATATAGGGCCTCAAAACAAGACCATAGGGAATCCATAAGGCTACAACCCTCAAGGAGATCCTCCCCAGGTGCTGCACATTTGGTACGTTGACATTTAGTACATTGAAGTAGAAGGTAGAATGTTTGATTATATTAGTTCTACTCATCGCAGTGCAAACATCATATATATCTTCTTGGTCATTAAATTTGTAAACATAAATGAAAATTTAAAAATACAAATGAGAGAGAGTAGAGTTGTTGGAACCTAGAGAAAGGATCAATTAATTGAGTTTAATATCTTACATGATTTTAGGAAGATTTTTCAGAGTTAGGGCACTGTTAGAGCTTCGAGATTAATCTTAATAATCAGGAAAAGCCAGTTTGGATAAATAGAATACTCCATAAAGCATATAGATCTAAATCTGTATGAC